AGAATCAGTTTAGCGTAAGGTTATTCAAATTTAGTAAATGGTTATCGAGGAAAAAATGAAAAATTAGCTGAAAATATCGTTTTTACTTGATAATATAATGATAATATTTATAATTGTCTGAAATAAATGCAATTTTAAAATTTTAATTATTATTTAAACATATTAAAAAGTTTTACGCTCATTATTAATAGAGATTGAAACTAAATATTTTTTTGTTTCGAAGTTGAAATCAAGGCATATTCACTGCCAAAAGTCAGTTAAAAATTTTCCATATTATTCGTTATTTCTTATTTTATGGTCAAATTCCAAATTTTCTCTCAAACCGTATACTTTTTTTTTATAGATAGTATTTATTTACCTCATGATTGCTGCAAAACCAAATTAATCACGAATTTCTAATTTTATGACTCTTGTCTCCGGTTGTACCTCCCAAACGTCCTTAAGTACATTCTTGTTCGTATTAAATAACAAATGAAAACACACATGCTAGCTTCTCATACAAAAAATTGACCACACTGTAGAAATTTAGTTATTTTAAGGAGATTTCTATTGCGTAATTCCCAATCATGGTTCGTAGGTAACTCAAGATAGCGCACCGATAAGGGACCATTTATCATACTTTATGTTTTTTTTTATTAAATAAATTTCGGAAACATTTATGCTTTCTGACATTTAGAATACAATAAATCAACGCCTTTCTCTTGTATAACTTCGTAGATACGTGGAATCTTTTTCATTGTGATATGCTTATTGATTCATCCAGTTAAAAGTTTAATCTGTTCCGATTCGAATAAGGAATTCTTAATGCTTTTGGATTTTTATTGAAAAAAAAGTAAAATATGTGTATGTACGACTTACCGCAGCTGCGACACTAAAAGCAACACAAATGGTGTAGCATAAAATTGCTTTCTGTTTCTGTTTCCTCTGAGCGCTCTCAAATAAAGAAAAATGGAATCAATTGGAAACTTTTTAAAGAACCGAGGTTTCAATAGCATCACGCGATGATTCCCACGGGGTAGCGGCTTTTAGGTCGTTTCGATTTATAAACAATCAGTTAAAATAGAATGCACTACTTTCAATAAAGTGTTCGTGATGAAAACAACAAAAAGGCAAGAGAAATTCCGATGTAGAACTTCTTCAGTTAAAAGAATTACCCCCTGGAGTAGCAAATATCGAACTTTCCAAATATAGATTTGTTTATTTTTATATACTTAGAAGATTAACAGTAGAAACGATGTGATTATGTATACGTGGCAGACGTTAGGCATATTTACAAATTTTCTCTCTCAGGCGAGGACCGTGTTCGACGTCAAATTAGACAAAAGACGTCAAAAACAGATTTTCCGAATATAAATTCTTAATCATTGCAGGAACCCTAAAATTATTTGTTACGAATAATATTCATGTTGAAATTTCTTATAAGAAAAGTTCTACAATACAAAGTTTCTCTAGAATAAAGCCTTGCTGTGCTATAGTAACAAGAATATTACGATTTTAAGACACAGGTGTTCCTATTTCAACAGTTGTCATCCTCAAATGTCTTGCATTCGTCAGAAAATAATTTCTGTACTCTTTTCGATACCACCATGAGGTAGAGTATGTAGCCAGGACGTTTTTTTTGTTATATAGTTTTCCCTTTGGAGGCCAAATCCACTTATCATTCTGAAGTTTGATTAAAGGCTTCTTGGCAATAAAGTTCTAAACTTTCGTCCTCCAAGGGAAGCGTTTCTATAGTTTCTTCGGCAATCTAATTGTACTTCGTTAGTATTTTTATACTAGATTGCCTCCGGTAGTACGTAGTAACAAGTATTTTATCATAGAAGACCACGCATCCTGCTACTTGCACCTATGTTTAAAAGGACTAAAAGTTCGAATGTTCTTCAAGGATTCGTTCTAAAGAAAATATGTACAAGGCGTTAGTAGATAAGATATGACAGTTCGGGACCAAAATCTCAACTATTTTCTTGTGCAGGTTCATTTCCGTTCTTTTTTGTTCATTTCTATCCCCTAACCCCCACTTTAAGATCACGGATGTTAGACGACTTGTAGGGCGTCGTCACGCTTATTCTGCGTGTGCTCCGGCCCCCTGAACCCCCAGCAGCATAGGAGAACTTTATGATCAGGAAGCAACAGATAATGGGGGTCTCAGGGGACGGAGCATCCGCAGGGGGGGCCCAGGGGGCAGGAGCACTTGAGTAAGAGGGGGGGGGCGAAGCCCTACAAGGTAGCTGACAGCCGTGACATCAATGTAGGAGTGGAGGGGGTAAGAGGAATAAAAAAGGACGAAAAGGAATCTTTGTAAGAAAATAAATGGGATTTTGGTCCAAAACTGATATATCTACTGGCCTCTGTTGTAGGAAAATTATTTTTGACACCTTCCACATAATATGGTATCTAAGGTATACTTCTTTTACTTTCTCTAGCGATGTGTCCCTTACAATATCCTGGATGCACGCTGGCAAAATCGTAGATAGGAAGAAAAAAACTCACTACACTCTCGACTCTTGTTCATTAAATATATTTTTTCATACAGTACCTGCCAAAAGTTTTGTTCAATCATGAATAGTAGTGCGAGTCGAAAACAAGCGTTAAAGCCTTTAATATGTCTTCAAATATAAATAAACATCTCGTTGATATTTTCAGTAGTAATTGATACCAATAAGAGCACGTTTGAGCAATGCAATTGTAGTGGATAAAATGGTCAATTTTTCCGTGTGGTACTGTACGGATTCTATGCTCCTCACCGGTTGAGAGTTTGGCCGAGAATTGTCTCCTTTCTTTTCTGGCCTAGTGCTGTTCTTTTCTACCTTGCGCCGGTCAAACTAAAGGTGACATCGCTAGAGAAACTAAACGAAATATAATTCCCTTTCTAAATATCGGAAACGATAACGGTAAAATCAAAAAAGGCACGAAATCCGACTCTGTCTTCTACAATATAGAAGTATAGACATCTCTGAAGGGGAGAAAAATAAGGATTTACATTTTGAAGTTAAGACGAACCAATTAAATTCATTTCCACATTTCTTGGCAATATTTAAATATCCGACTCCCCACCGACTGGCCCATACCAGCATATTAAACAATTAAGTAATTTTTTTAAATATAATTTTGAGATACACCCTCTAAAAATAGAAGTACTATCATCAGTTCGAGTACTCATAATTATACAGACCACTTTGCTTCTTAATTAGACTATTTAGAAAAAAGTAGGTAACTGGGGGCTCTTCTCAGAAACGCCTTGAAAGAACAAATGTGTTCATTAAAAAATTTGCGTCTTCTACTAATGATCGCTACTCTTTATCCTCTGCACTTTCTACCGCACTCTCGGGTCGGTGCGCTGGTATCTATTGTCAAAGTGGTGTTTTTAATTAAACCGCTCACCACGATAAAACAAGTACTAAGTATTACTCGTTTTGCTTATTGTTCTTTTCTTTTTCGTTTCAGAAATATGTCAGCGAAGGTTCGCTAGTCAAAGACTGTGTCGCCCATTGCGTCGAGAAAGGTAAGATTTTTCTTTATTCTTAGCTTTTTAAGAACATATTATTTATGTGTAATTAGATACATAATTTAGTTATTGAAAGTACAAGAGTAGATACCAAACGTTATTGTCTACAACAATTTAAATTTTGGTGTATCTATGTAGCCACTTTCATTGTCGAAAGATTTAATCATTTATATCACGTGGCTCTCTCGTTTCTCTTATATCTCCCGCCTTTGACTACTGCATTTAGAGCTTTCGGATTTTTTAAACTTTGTAACAGCCATTCCCGTTCATCACAGTATCTGCGGATAAGGTAAATTTGGAAAATGGCAAATAAAAGTTTTTACTTGTCTTGTTTTAGATGCACAGGTGCTTTAGATGCTTCTGTTTGCTATCATATAGTTACAAGTATTTTATTACTGACTGTTATTGTATTTGCAATAATAGGTTTATCTTGTTTTAGATGCACAGGTGCTTTAGATGCTTCTGTTTGCTATCATATAGTTACAAGTATTTTATTACTGACTGTCACTGTATTTGCAATAATAGGTTCATAAAAATCCATTAAAAAACTTTAGTTTTCAACAAAACCAATCCCAAGTAAATTTGAACCATTAAAATTGTACATTGCCGTAATATAACATCAAGGATCATTAATTAACTAGCCGGTGTTACTCATAAATAAATTTAATGTCAAACTATATCAGATATAGGTAGTGTAAAAAGTTTAACTATAAAGCGAAGTTCCGTTTTAAGTTCAATTAAAATCTTACTTAGAAAGCATTTCGTAGCAGTGATAAAAAATTAATGTTGATACTTGATCTAGTTTTAGGTCATAATATTTGTTGATAGATAATATAAAGATACTATAAGTTCAATTTTTGCAATCAATGTAGTAGATTGACATAATATCCCGTGTTTGGGAAAATTTTGACAGTACACTGGACTACAGTATTATCACTACATAGTATAAAACAAAGTCGCTTTCCCGCTGTCTGTCCCTATGTATGCTTAAATATTTAAAACTACGCAACGGATTTTGATGCGTTTTTTTTAAAAAGATAGAGTGATTCAAAAGGAAAGTTTATATGTATAATACATGCATAATATAGTAGAGAAACACTGATAATTTTAGAGGTTTCTAATGTGATGTCGTAAATAAACACATTTTTTGCGCTTACATTGCAAACGCTGGCTGAACCCTACGAGATAGATCAAAATAATGTACTACAATATTGTACATCTTAAAAGGGTCTACAAAAAAGTCC